TTAAATGAGGAGTAAATTCTATTTCTATTGGATCTAATTAGTATATCTATCAAGTACATTATATTATAATCGTTATGTTCGTCTCCAAAACTTCTTAGCACAAGCGGTAATTATATTGATGCATTTACTGTCAGTATCGTTATATGTACCACAAAATTTTAGTTAAATGATAAATTCCAACTTACACTTTGGAGGCTGCTGCATAAGCCGTGACGAGTGGATTGATCTAGAAGAAATGGCGCGATTCGGAACACATTCTACACGACTGCATATGAAATATCGAAAAGAATTAAGAGTATTTAATGCATATTTTCTGAAAAATAGCCCGCATCTTATTTTAAGTTTTTGGATGTAAAATCCTCGCTAAAAGCATCACTATTCAGATTAATAGATGACGACTAGTTTGTTCAAAGGTGTTTCCTAACTTTGGGGTAAATTTTAATATAAAATTAATGTTAATCTTTATTCACTTTAAATGCATCCTTATTTTTTGACTTATCGAGATAGTGAACGGAAAAATAGGAAGAATTAGCTGTTTTCATATGGAATTTGTAGAAAAATTTAAAGTCTTTTAAAAATTTCAGAAACATTTTAAAATCAAATGACAATTGCTCAGTTAGAGGAAAGGCTCGTACAAATATGTTTTTCTCATTGTATTAGGTATATAGTAAGGTTACGTAATCGTTCATGAAGCCAATAATCTATATGATAGTTACATGCATATTCATTTCATTATTATCGAAATTTGGTCAGGTTCATCTTCTCATGTATTACTGCTTTTAAGGCAAATACCTTAAAAATTAAAAGTAGTTTAACTTTCAAATAATCTTCGGTATTTCTTTAAGCTGAGACTTAGTATCTACGAATATTGACAAAACAATATGTGGTATTTGCATTTTTACAACTCAAATAGACATGAATGTACCTTACCTTTCCAATAAATTTCAGAAAGCCTTACTTCACATAAGGTATTCTTATCCAGGGTGAACTGCAGTTTCGAGTTTGCTTAGGTTGCATTAGCTGCACTAATAAGGTTCGGTTCCAGCTGGGGCTGCTGATAAGACTTAGGGGGGTTCTGAACTGTAGTGCACTTTAGCCTGTATGAAAAAGCTATTTGAAATTCACTGAAAATATGAGGCCTACTTATATCATTGGAGGATAATTCAATTGCCATTCCTTCATCACTTTAACGAAATAGGATGAGTATATTTCATAAATAGTTTCCTTGTTCTTGAATTCCTTTGTTTGCAGAGGCTTCCTTAAATGCGTGAAAATAAATACAGATACTTGATCTGGCCGGCTAGTTACGAGATATTTTTGGTAGCATTTTGTCATTTAAAGAGATATATAATTGTTGAAGTTAGGAAATATAATATTATCATTTAGTGACAACGGCTTTGGCTAATTATATTCATGAACATTATTTACTAATTCGAAGATATGAAAACCAAGATGGTCGCGGTCCCGGTTCGTTGTATGGGAGTTGTCTGACCTTGTTTTCGCAACTTGGTCATATTGACAGGAAGACCCAGAGGAATGCATCTTGTACGGAGTCCATAGTATGCATGATTATTTCAAGAGTCCGACCGTGCGATGTGATCCTCTAATTCGGATCTTTCGGTGTCCATGTCTCTCCAAGGTCTTTGGTATTTCTTGATTCGTAGGCAGATTTTTCTTCTTGTTTCACCAAGCTACTTTTGCTCACAGTTGCCTAATTAGCTGCTATAGAATTCTGAGCAATCCAGATTGTCAATTTTCTCGTGATGCGTCAGAAAGATGGTCAATATTGTTGTCTTTTTTTTATTACCTTTATACTCAATTTTCTCAGCAAACGTCGACATTTTTGGCTCAGTTCACAGGAGAGCAGACATATCCGCTTTTGGTTGTCCCCTCGATTCCTGATTTTATTTTCATAAAACCCTAATTGAAATATCTTCTTTATGACCTCTATATTTGTTTCTATAAATTCTCTGGGGTGCCCATTACTCCTTATTTGTATTTGGTCAATTATTCTAAAGCATTTTGTTCTTCTCTGACGATGTCCGTCGCATGAAAGACGGAAGTTCAGCAAGGGATCATCGGGATAGTGGAACGGTTGGCCAATGGCTTATTCGCATAAATCTACATCCACAGCTTCAAGGCTACTCCTCTACGACTTCGGGTGAGACAAACTAACAACCCCTTCTATTCTCCTCTTAAAAAGAACTAAAAGGTACTCTAAGATGGATATTAATAATTTGAGTGGAAAATGAGAAATGAGTTTTTTCTGATTAAACCCCCTTCTTAATACAGCTACCCTATTGCTGTACGTTTGGTAAAGTAGGGGTAGAATGACCGGATGAAGTAAAACCAGGCGAAAATAAAATACTTTGCATCAATGCTTAACATTGGAGATAGAGGACCTAAATCTTGGCATATCTTTCTCAATGGTTCTTACTCAATTAAAATTTCGCATTATTTTATAATGGCTGCAACAATACGTTAATAGATCTTAAGCAGTATTTGCTTCAGAATTGCTGTCAAGCATTCGCAACCAGGAGTGTAGAACCGTATACATAATTTAGATAACTTTTATTCAGGCCATCTTTAATATAGTTTTATAAAAAATTCTCTTTTGTTTTTTATGTAAAATCAATAAAAATAAATTCAACCTATGTGGTAAAAATTTATTTATCTAATCTTTCGGGGACAAACAGACGCACATGGTTGACACACAATTAAATAGCCACATGTAATCTTTAAATTAATTCACTGTATAATCGTAACACATATGGGTCTTCGCATAAGTTGTTCATAAATGTAATCTTATTTAATTAATCTGCATTAGTACAGACTAAGAAATATTGAAGTGTTTGCAGTGACTTACTTAAATTGTGAATCCGGAAATTTAACCTGAATTATAAGTAATAAAATAGAATAATGATTACTATGAAATTTTAAGGTAAGCATCAGCATTCTACTTCTTGTTTTACTTAAAACACCGAAATATTTTAATACATAAGACGCTACGATAGTTATGTCAAATTATGTTAATAAGGAAGTTAACTCTAAAAAGCTCAAATCCTTATTCACAATCTTTTATGCAATAAAAAGCCCTCTTAGCATACATTATAATTAGGAAGATTTGCACAAATTATTGAGGCAAATTACAGGGTTCATATAGTTCATATACGGCCTGAAAGAATACTAAGATTATTAAAATAAGATGTGGTTTCAACTAGCAAAACGGGGTTTTCATTACAAAATAGAGATTTACCGATATCTAAACTAAAGTTTATAGGACACAATGGGAATTTCCTTGTTTATTTATAATGCTTTGATGCTCTATTAACGGCGATTAAATAGTTGAGGAGGACTTAACCTAACTTCTTGACAACTTAGCGATCCTAAGTCACGGAAAATATAAATGAAGTGGTAGCCTACCTGTCCACTTCTGCATCTTCTTGAGGTGGTATTTGAAGTTGAGCCCGTTGAGTCTATTGGTCCTGAAAAATTACGACCAAACCGAGGCTCTCCCTGGCAATTTCCAGAGTTCATGCCTGAAACAGAGTCTGTGCAAGCGGCAGTCGTAGCGTCCTGAGATGTTTTCGGAATTGTCATAATCGCATGGCCGGCCAGGCGGGTGCGACTGGGATGGGGTCCATTCATGGCCATCTTGCGCAGCTGAGCGTCCATCTGATCAATCTTTTCCCGAACTCTGTGTAACTGATCCGTCAACTCAGCATAATCACAACGCAGGTGATGAAACGCTTCTTCGGGCCCCTCGATTGAATGAGGGTCGCACGGAGTGATAGGTTTACTACCAGCCTTGACTTGGAGTGAAGATATGTCTTCATTTCTATACCTGTTTCCATCTGTCTCCTTGAACCTGAGATCTATATGCTTGTCAATTCGTCTTTCTTTGACTTCTTTGCTCGACATTTGCATGGGCTGTTGCCCAGACGAGGTACAGATTGCGGCTGGGCTCTTGATCTGCGAGGTGAGTCCAACTACCTTCTTCCGTCTCTCCACTTCTGATTGGAAAACTTTATTCGGGCTGGTAGTGGCTGGACTAGCTGAGGAGATAAAAGATGCAATTTTATCAGAATTGCATTTGTCATGCTTGTCCTTAAGACCAGGCCAACTTGCTCGACAAAATGAACTTCTAGAAAACGGTGCCTTTTTTGTAGACGGCTTGGAGGTGACATTCGGAATTCCGTGGCTAATAAGTGACTCGGAAGATCGCCTTGGTAACGGATGACCTCGTGTAGGCGAGCAACTAGTTATGGGTTTTGCAGGCCTTGAGCACCGACTATAGAGGCGACTCTTATGATGGTCATCATGATGACTATTGTTTTTGAGGTAGAGGGAACATTTGAGGATTAAATGATTAAGATTTCGATTTGTAACAAGTCACTTCTTTATGACTTAAGTAAAGTTTATTTTAATCGAAGGTATGCAAACCAAGATAGTGTGGCCTTTTGTGTTGTCGCAGTCTCCTTTCGCTGTATAGAAGTTGTTGACCTTGTTTCCGCAGCTCGGTCATATTGGTAGGAAGACTTAGAAGAACGCACCTTGTCCAGAGTCTATTGTATGCATCATTATTTCCAGAGTAGGACCGTGGACGTGGTACATTGGTACATGGGTACATGGTACATGGTACATGACACGTGGTACATAGGACACGTCCACGGTCCTACTCTGGAAATAATGATGTATACAATGGACTCTGGACAAAGTGCGTTCCTCTAAGTCTTCTTAACAATATGACCGAGTTGCGAAAACAAGCTCAAACAAGGTTTATTTTAGTTCGTTTTATAAGGAAAATGTATACTTGAGTAAAGATCTAAAGACTTAGCCAGACATCATTACCAAGTAGTATATAGGCTTCTTGGAGGCTTCTCACACAGAGTGGACTGCAATTATATATCATTCTAAGAAATTTAAATAGTAGTCCTTCTTTAACTTATGTGATCTAGATAGAATGTATTTTTTATTTAGATTTTTCACTTGTATCGAAAGTACTGTCTGTGGAAAATTGATAGTAGAAGCACAATG